CAGCCATGAATCTGTTGTCCACTCTGTCTGCACTTTGTAACTCTACCTCCAGACTTGATAGGCTTTGCTTTTCACTTGAGTAACTCTTGCAACAAAACCACTTTAATGCCAGGACCCCCCTGTGTTAGTAATCAAAACCTCCTTATATGACAATGCTAGAGTATTTAGCTCGTTTTTCTTGAGTACACATTTTTTTAATTACCTCTAAAAAATACTTATTTTTTGCCAACATTTGCCTTTTTTTTTTGGTCAATGTCCAAGGACTAACACTAAGAAAATATTTTGAATTTTCCACTTTAATATTGCCAAATTGAAGACGGACCACCTACCCCAGGGCCCGGACCCTATCTCTCACAGAATCAGTGCCCCAGGACGAGGGTCAGGGAGAGGGACAGCTGGCAGACCTCCCAGCAGCCTGGAGGAGGTGCAGGGTTGGCGGACTGGGACTGACCCCCAGTCAGATGGTGGTCTGGCTCCCAGGTAGAAAACATCTGGTCCAGAGATGGGAGGAGTGATCGCACAGGCGCTCGCACATTCAGAAGCGATGCACGCTTGACTACACAAACTCTCCTGCCTTCTCTAATGAACTCTCTCCGGCACACAAGGCTATACACACTCGGAGACACGTCGCTTTATTAGTCATTAGGATGAAAAGGCTTGGCCTCAATCAGTCTCTTCTGCACGTGATGGTAAATGGCCGCCCTAGTTGCTAACAGCTGGCCAGACAGAACTTGCTGGTAGGTGAGCTTTACAGGCGCTACAGATGGAGTGAGGTCCAATTACGTCTTTAGATTTAGAGAAGAACTGAATATGTGAAGGCAACCAAAAAGCAGTGATTTATATTGTAATATGCAACATTAACAGAGGACAATAACCCTAATTAGGACCATGTTTACTTAGACAAGTTAATTTTGTAGAAAATGTCTGTCCATCGAAAAAATGGTCTTAACTAGGGAATATTACTTTTTCTTTTTTTTTTTTGGTTCTTGAGAATAATGACTGAAAGACCAAAGAAAGAAAAATGGTCAGTGAGAAATTTGTTGCGATGTGTGTGGCTGTTCTCAAGATGAGATAAGGACAGCAGAGATATCCAGAGGGACAGCTGCCGTCTGCTGACAGCCAAGGGTTTATTACACACTCACAGACCTAAGTATACCACCACTGGGCCTCCCTAAGAGCTCTCTGGAGACTTTGGGGAATTAAAAAAGGAGGAGGGAAAGTTGGAAGGGGGGAGAAGATACTCAGAAGGAAGTCTGATAACTTTTGGGCATCAAATTATTTGAAAGCCAACCAGCAAATTTGCAAATTTGACCACGTAATACTAAGAAACGTGTCATTTTGTTCACATTCCTGCTCTGCCCAGCAATCTGGTACCACTGGACTAATAATTAAAATGCCCAGAACTCTCGTTCACACATATACCTGCATGTGAATGTCAAAAAACAACATCAGTGGAGAATTTTAAGAATATATCAAATAAATTAAGACATTAAGTGGTGGCACTGTGACACTTTAAGAACACAAGATCGCCTTCCAGCCTTACTGGGTGGAGTTTGCCTGTACATGTATGGATTTTCTCCGGTTACTCCGGTTTTCTCCCACAGACTAAAAACATGCATGTTAGGTTAATTAGTAACTCTAAATTGTCCTTAGGTGAGGGTGAGAGACTAGTGTAGGTCCTGCGATGAACTTGCAACCTTTCCAGGGTGTACCCCACCTCTCACACATTGACTGCTAGAGAAAGGCATCCCACAATCCAGAAATGAGAAGTAAAGAAAACGGATGGATGAAACACATTAGGCACTTTTAAGTAATATATTCTGTTTCTAAATCTTTATTAAGAACTCTTACACAAAGTAATGTAAGGCCTTTTGATGGGATTTCACTTCCTGTCTGTTCAAGCAGCTGCATATATCAGAACCGATTCTTCTTAAGTTGTAGGAACTTTGGACTCAGCTGTTGCATAAAGAGCTCTTAATCAAGAATAATGGAGTGTGAGATTTTAGCATTCCCTCTTTACCTTTATTCACTTATTTTAATCAACAGCTTCCAGTGGTGCAGTCTACATGACACGCGGACATACGGAGTACACCCACTAGAAAAGCTTGAGAATTTCAGTATAACCACTTAAATGTGCCCAGTGACACATGGCATATCATTAGGCACGTGTCGATACGTTAAGCAGCAGTTAAATGCTGTATGCAGCGCTTGTTTATTACATTTATTTATCCAGAAAATTATTGTATAATTAATACTTCTGTACTTACTGCTTAATAATTGAACATGTTTTGCTTTGATACTGTTTTATACATTCTATAACATGTTTTAAATACAAAAACCAACTGTTGTGCAAAGTTTGTTGTACATTTATTCAAATATAAGTATCAGAGAAAATTGGAAATGTTCAATATGCTTACAAATCAAAATAAATTGAAGATTACATTGTACTAACCGGTGTACTTTGGCTTCTAAGCACAGTACACCCACTACAAAAATGTAGACTAGACCACTGATAGCATCCTATACTCCTTGTTGAGTTTTTCTTCTTTTATAGTTATACTTTTCTCTAGTTTATGATGATCAGATGATATACAAACACAGGAACACATTTAAAAAAGAAGAGCAAGAAAAATGCTTATAACATAATGAGCACATACAATGAAGTTAGTAAAGAAAAAAAAAGAAAAAGAAAATGAGCTAAATAGACGTAGCCAAAATTTATTTTGGTAAAGGATATGGAAAATGTTTCAGTCTGAAATGGTTCATGCATAGGCTAACAATGTTGCATCATAAGCAGTTTTCCCCACTGCCAAAGACCAGATAAACAAGTTGGTTATGATAATCGTCACCTCTTTCACTTCTTAATCATTGTGAACAAAGTGTTGGAATACAGATGAGCAAATATGTCGTCTACGAAGGAAGCAAAACAAGCAGATCATCTTTACCACTTCTACATTCAGACAAATTTACTCTGCACACATTCACCAAAACAAACAAGAAAACAGTTAGTGAAGAAACTTCATAACAAGTGAAATGAACTGAAAGGCGTTTCTTCATCCCTAAATCGAATCCCGTCACTCAAGTGCAGCTAATAAAACGTTCATTCACATTGTTCTGCTTGACCTAGAAGTCTTGCTGTAACCTTAAATTTAAGTAAGTGCAGACGTTTGACTCTAAACCAGAAAGAAACGTGGGGCAGGGTGACGAGAAAGACGCACAGAAGCTTAGAGACATTAAGAAGCGAGCTGCTGTGAAGGAAATATAATAAAATTGGTGCAGATAAAGTCAGGAAGAGCAGAACTTCCTACGAAAATATTTATCATTCCAGAAACTTTTGGCCACAGAGAGGTTTGGAATTAATTTGTGTTTTCTTAAGAGGGGGTGCCTTGCGCTGCAGGATGGGGAATTCTCCACAACCAGGGACGTTTTGGGCTGCTGCTTATTCACAATTTATTAGAGCCTGTAATAAGAACCATGAAGGCTGAGGGGAGATCGAGTGAGAGGGGCTCGGGTCAGAAGTAGAGAGAGGGAACCCAGAAGTGGGGCCTCGTGTTATTAGGAGGCGAACCGCGGTGTTAAATCAAACACACTCCAGCGCACACCTTCGGTATGTGGTCTGAGCGCACATCTCGCCCACCTCAACCAGAACCCTGGATGTTATTTGTGAGAGTTAAAATACTCAAGATTTAGTCGGCTTTACAACCCATCGAGAATCGAAATACGATAGCTAGATTCACAAATGATAAATTGTCTTTGGTTGGCTGCAAAATTTAAAACATATTTCAGATAATTAACTCTGACCATAAGGGATATGTGACCAATTGGGTTAATAATAGAAAGAAATGAGGATATTGTTTTTTTTTTTAGATATTGATTGTTTAAAATTTGCCTGCACTTGCTTTGGAAGCATTGACATTAAAAATAATAAATAGAACAAAAATTAAAAATTTCTGAAAACAGATCCAAATGTTGGATTTTGTACATTTCTTACTTTATTTGTCAATTTGACAAATAATAATAAAAAATAAAAAAATTGAGCTAAAAATGCAGTTTTAATGTGTATATCATTTAAATAAAATGACAGGGCCCCGTTAAAAGCTGCTCCTCCAACAGTGCAGACTGAAGGGGAAATAAATGGCTGGCCGAAAGGACAGAGAGTGGTCTGAATCCATGAAGGGGTCCTTGAAAAATATGAATACCAGCTTTGAAAAATGCTTAGCGTGGCTCCCCGTAATTTCCTTTAATGACGGTCCCTGCATGCAGCTGGAGGGGTCTCAGTGATCTGGGTGTAATCTTCTGCAGTTAGGCCGCAGCAGAAAGCGCTGCACTGATTCAACCAACACCAAGAAAAACAAAGGAGCTCAATTAAAAGGCAAGGCCCTCCGTGCACTCAGATCTTTAAACCGCACACTGTGGGACAAATAACCCCTTTGTTGACGGTAAGTTGCTTTATGAAGGACTTTAATAAATACAAAAATATGTAAGAACTTCCACTAACAGAAAGTTTCAAAACTACACAGTAAAATTATAATTATTATTGATTTAAATAAAGTACAGGAGCCTATATAGTGTGTCTCCAGGATGTAAATGCTGGCATTAAAATGTGTTTATCAGACTTTTTCAAACATCACTCGTCACACAAATAATTCAATAATCTTTAAACAAGGCTTTAGTTATACAAATGTAAATATATATATATTACTTTACAGAATTTATACTCTTTGAGAGGATTTTTTTTTTTTTTATTGCTTTTTGTCTTATGCGTGTATGTGGGTGGGGGTTGATAGCATACATAAGTACCAGTATTTGGAATTTAAGTTGCAGATGTATTTTTAAGTGAAGTTATATTTTGCATTGCTTTTTGTTTACTGGTTGAAGTAAACAACAGGAAACCCAGAAGCATGGTTTTATAGCATAAAGTAAAAATAAAACAAAATAAAATGAATGAACCAAACATCTGCAGATGAAATGGTCTTTAAATAAAGATGTGGTCCACTTACCATTCTTTCGAGTGAACAGCGCCTGGTGGAACTCCTGCAATCAGAGCAGCTGTTGGCTGTCCATGCCCAGAGGAGCCTCCGCAGAATCCCCCAGATATCTCAGGAAATCAGCCTCCTGTTGAGGCTCTGCGGGCCGAGGGGGGGGCTTCAGGGGGTCCGGCTCTCTGCGGACACTCACACCGACGGGTCCTCTGCTCCCCGGCTGCTTCAGGAGGACTGTTTGCTCCACCAGCGGCGGGGAAGTGATGTTAAACCGAGCGAAGACTTCTGGTTCCTCCTCCTGTTTGTCATGGAGCGGCGCGCGCGCGGCACAGCACGCTCAGCCTGAACGTGTGTGGGTGGGTGTGCGCGTGCCCCTCTTTCTCTCTCTCTCTCTCTCTCTCTTTTTTTATAATCTCCACAAGAAAGTGCTTCACTTGGGCTTTTCTCTCTACCTGCCATTTAAGTGTTTGTTTGCTCACGCGCTCTTCATCCTCCTGTTTACACAGCGGCCCTCGAGATTTGGCAGATTGTGGGAATAACAACTGCAGGTTATTGACAGGTTTATCAGGAGTGTGCTGTTTTAAGTGTGAGTGGATTTCCACCCCCTCATTGTTCAGTGGGGTTGTACACCGGTGACAAACTGATTAATCCGAAATAAAGCACGTTTCACACGAATCCGGTCATTTGGTTGCTCATTGTCTATTTTCGGAAATAATCCCAGTGAATTAGTCAGATAAGAAGAAATGTTGGTCGTTGGTTGAACAAAAACTAAAGTAGCATGCCTAACACAAATAAGGTTATTTTACAAAATAATAATAATCTGATTCTATGAGAAACAAAAATACAGTAACTTAAAGTGTGCTGACTAACAGTTGAACTTTGGTATATAAGCTAAAACTGAATTATTGAAGTTATAACTCACAGAAAATACTAAAATTAACTAAAAATGTGCTGCAGTAGACTAAAGAGCTAAAACTAACAAAACATCATCAGGCTAAAACCCAAAGTAAGCAAAAGCAAAAAAAAACAAAAGTCTAAAATTAGAATAACAGTGGCTAAAATGTATTAGTGAACAGTAAAAGCTAAAACCACCATAACAGTAGCTAAATTACAATAACCATTACATCTTATGCCATAAACTCCCAGATATTGGTTTCTCAGATCACACGGTTGGTTGATTTTCAAACTGTCAGGTCAGTGTCAATTTGTTTGACATAACTGTACTTCATCTAGCTATATCCTGATGCATGCTCAATAATCCAGGTAGAAAGATTAAAAAAAGATAAGTCTGGTCCTCTACTTAACTTTTTTTAGATTCATCTAGCTATCTAGTCACTAATGGTGTACCACAAGGCTCAGTCTCAAGACCCACTTTCTTTACAATCTAATGTATATCAGAACATTCCTGACATATCCTTGCATTTCTATGCTGACGATACAGTTGTTTATTGTCAAGCTAAAACATTTGCTAAGGTTTTCCAGCTTCTCCAGTCTGTATTCAACATCAGTCAGATTTGTTCCCTTTCAAACTGGTGCTAAATGCTGATAAAACCAAAGGGATGTTGTTTTCAAACAGAAAGTTGGTACCAACAGTCTTTCCTCGTATCTTATCTATGAATGGTGTTCCTATTGAGTTTGTGGATTCTTAAAAATACTTGGGAATCTTTGTTGATGCACATCTCTCTTTTAAGCTGCATGTCAAAAACTTGATAAAGAAACTGAAATTAAAACTGGGTTTCTGTTACAGAAATAGATCTTCCTTAACTGAATGACTTGAAGCTGCTACTTTCCTTCTGGCCATTGATTATGATGACATTATTTACATGAATGCTCCTGCAAGCACCTTACATATGTTGGATGCTTTCTACCATGGCGCGTTAAGATTCATAACTGATTGTAATCACTGCACTCTGTACTCATTGGTCAACTGGTCATCAATAACTTCATGCTGGCTCTCACACTGGTACATTTTTATCTTTAAATCACTCCTTGGTCTCCTGCCTTCATACATCTCCTCCTATGTGTCATATAATCAGTGCAGCTACATCGTGCGCTCTCAAGACATCATTACTTGCAGTGTCCCCTCAGTGCGGATTAAACTCAGCAAAAATAATTTTTCTTATTCTGCTGCTGTAATCTGGAACACCTTGAAAAAAATCTGAAACTGTCAACTTTGATCTTTCTAAGGGATTTTAAGCAACTGTTGAGTTCAATGCAAAAATCAATGCATGCATGTTCCTGTTTTTAGTATTTTTACTTTGCTTCATAATGTAGCTTGATTTTATTTAGTTTTATATCACTACTTTTATTTACTTTTCATTTTATATGCATTCCATGGCTGTTTATTGCTGTGTGCACCTTATCTGTGGTTTTGTCTAAATCAGGTCTCTCTTGAAAATGAGTCCTCGTGGCTCAGTTAGACTAACTTGTATAAATAAATGTTGAATGAATAAATGCTGAAACCAGCAAAGTGTTACTAAACGCTAACGTTAACAAACCAGTAACTAAAATCTAAAACATTTCATCAGTACTTGATAGATACAGTTAGCAAAACAGTAGTTAAAATCTATAACCTGAAAACTAGCAGCAAGTATACTAAACTGGATATTTAAAGCAGACATGGTTTTTCAAGATTTTGATAATAATGATATTAAATTGGTTGACTAATTTTTAAAAATATAACTGTCAATAATTCCTAACCTCATAATTAGTTTATGTCCTTGAGCTGAATGTTCTGGTACAGAGATGGCTGAAATAGCTAAAAGTACACTGGGACTCAAAAACTGTACAGGACACCCAGTACTCACACACTATTCATTACTATATATTATACTTAAAATTTCAAATGAAAAGATAACTTTTAATAACCCTTATTAATTATAATAAAACAACCTCTAAAAATGATGGACCTTGCATGTAGTTGTTGCACTGGATATGTTCTTCTATACTGTATGACACAGTGATGTAAAGGAAAAACAAACAGCTGTGCAAAAATACTGTTTATATTTGAAATATAGAACACAAACTGGGTTTTTGATCTCAAGGGTACACTTTACTATTTATTTTCATCGTTGTACTTATAAACTCCTTGTTTTTTTCTGGAACAACAGAACTCACTAGAGGCTTTAAAATAATTTTACTGCAAAATCGTCCAACTAAAAACAATTCAATAAACATTTGCTCTATTCTTTTCTTACCTTCTAAATATTTTACTTTTTTTGATCAAGCATACAGGATACGGTAAATTTCACATGTTCATATTTAAAATAAGAAAATGTCACCCAGTTCCTGGTTGAGATGCTGGAAAATGTGATAAATCATCAAGGTTATCAAAACAAGTCAAGGCCACAAGTCACTCTAAACAACACCTGCTGAACAGGAAAACAGTTTTTGACAGTCGTCTGTCGGAAACCGACATCCTCAGTGCGATTCCCTTATACCGAGGAAGCCTGGTGCAGGTGTTTCATCGTCTGAATGTGTGTTTATAACCGCTTTATATGTGAGCAATATTTGAGTCATTGTCTTTGTGTGTTTTCTGTAACTTGAGGATGAGTGGGTTGGAGCTGAGAGCCACGACTAAGGAGGAAACAGGTTCTTCTGTGCAGGGACAACAGGATACACTCCCCACGGCCACAGACATGAATATAGGGCTCTTGCAGGATGTGTGTGTGGGGGAATTCATGCTATTTTACATCTGTCCTGATGCTGACATCTACGACCTTCCCTGATAAAAAAAAAAAAAAAAAAACATTTCTGAAGCTGCCAAAAATGCAAGACAGTGAGTTTTTATGGGATTTTATGTGTTTCTTTTTCCTTTATTGGTTAGGTGGGCAAAAATAGTAAGACAGGTGAAAATGATCAAATAAACGACAAAAAGCTGATAAACACTACATCTTAAGTTTTAGTTGAAAACGTGTCGTGCATAAAAAGTTTAAAAGTGCCGACATTTTGAATCTGTTTTAAAACAGTTTTTTTTCCAGCTTCATTATTCTGTTGTACATTTCATTCTACCGTTTTTTTTTTTTTTTTTTTTTTACTCCCTCTTATCAAGAATAAACTTGAGTTAGTTTCCTGCTTCACTAACAATTCTTTAAGTATTCTGAAAAGCATAAGCCCCGACCTGTCTCACTTGGCACATGTTTGGTGTTTGAGTGATAGCATCAACAAGGAGGAAAGAAAGTAAGTGCAGTCTGCAGCTCAGACCTGCTGCTGCAGTGATGCATGCTGGTCCACTGGAGCTTATAACTGGAAAAACCTAAACATATGTTTAAAATCCTCATTTCAATTTAATCAAGGATGGCATTAAAGCCAATGCAAAAGGTGAAATGCAATAGAACACAAAGTAAGGCGTTCTCTATACAGTTGGCTCAAGGGTTGTTGGGGCCAACTTGTAGGATTTTTCTTTTTTTGTTTGTTTTTTTGGTCGTGTTGGCTAAATATTGGCCTCTTTTAAAATCTCAACGCGTCATAGTTTCAGTGATTCATAGAATCAGCGATCCCTCATAACCCTTATACCTGCACTTTCCGAAGTCCTTCAGTGGATCTCACAGGTGTCTACTTTCTTTGCCTTGAGCGTTAAGTGTTTAAATTAAACATTTCCGTAACATGCATGCCTTACTCTGTTCTTCTTCTCCCCCCTCCCCCAAATGACTGTGGACGTCACAGGCTTGGAGTGTAAAGTTTCCTTTTGCTGATAACCAAATCTTTATTTTTGTGCTACATGTATTCATATTTTTATTCACAAGTTATGTTGATAAGCTCGAAAATATCTATTGCTAAAAAAACATTTTGATCCAACAGAGTACTTTGTCTTTTATAAATGTTCAGCACATATTTCCCACAGGTTTAAGTTACATTAGCCATGTTTGCTACTTTATCACTGTTTTGGTATATTTGAAGAAAAACTAGTCCACTATTTCTGAAGACAAAATTATTTTATTTTATTTTATTATGTTCTGAGTCTGTCTTTTCCCCACATTTTTTTTATTTTCCTCAGGTTCAACTGCTTTTTTTCATTTAACAAGCCTCAAATAAAATAAGACAGATGCAATTTATCAAAAAGTTTTTAAAAAAAGAGGGGGGGAGTGGTGGCGCAGAGGCTAGAGAGGTGGACCTGCAATCGGAAGGTCGCGAGCTCGACTCCCTGGACTGACAACATCAAAATGTGGATTCAAGTTCAGGTTCAAGAACCTTTATTATCCCCAAGGGGCAGTTTGTTTCACAGTCAGTAGACACACAAAACATTCATACTAGACAAGGCATTGAGATGTTAAAATAACAGTACAGAAATCACCACTGTTCATTGAGAAGCCTGATCGCTACAGGTATGAATGAGTTTTTCAGTCTGTTCATCTGACATCTGGGCAGCAGATACCTGCGTCCAGAT